TATATATATATATAATAATCTGTTAGCATGAAGGGGGTGTCTGATAACCCCAAGATTTTGCTTGGTCTTGTAATTTACCAAGTCATCCTTGGGGATATTTTTGCCTTTCTTGTGATCCTCCTCACTGTATTTTGGAGAAAAATAAACTTGGGTCCTCTTTCAGGCAGGTTTGTAACAGTTCTAGTTATTGTCCACTTTTTTATTATTGCGCTAACAGCAGAAATGGGCATTTTAAGGCGAGTAGCTATTTTTCATACCCATTCCCAGACTTATGAAGGTCAACACACTTCTCCCTCATTTGGTCTGTATGTTCTCTTATCTTTCCCATGTCGATCGATGACTAAGGGAATTTGGGCTCTGTGTCACCTCATGTTCGTATCCCTGTTAACCAGGAAGTCATGGATTACAGCTTGAAGGTTCCTATTCACTCCACTCAACTCAAAGATGTACAATTTACAGGGGAAACATACTTCAGTTACATTGTGTTCACTATAATTTCCAGGGGTGCCAATAATGGTGGCACATGTGTTTTTGTTAAAGATAATTTTTTGATGAAGGATTTATTTTTTCTTGGAATAAATTTATGGTAATGAAAGGTTGGGTTTTTCTCAATTTCCAGTGTGACATGAAGCTGCTTCACGAAAAGGTACATTTTTTCTAACCCTTTTTACAAATCTTTACAATAACTGTGGAGGGCGCTGTATACACTCCTGCATATGTACCAAAGGTAAGTTTAAAGTGACTGTAGGTAGAAACTGTCCCTGAACCTGCTAGTGGGAGTCTGAATGCTCCTGTACTGCCTCAGAATCTGTGGTTTGGATGGTTGGGATCACAGAGGATCCCCTGTGCCTTCCTCCTACAGCACAGTTTATAAAGGTCCTGCATGGCTGGGATCAGAGAGGATCCCCTGTGTCTTCCTCCTACAGCTCTGTCTGTAGAGGTCCTAGATGGCTGGGATCAGACAAGATCTGCTGTGTTTTCCTCCTACCTCGCTGTCTGTAGAGGTCCTGGATGGCTGGCAGTTCAGACCTTGTGATGCATTGCGCTGATCTGACCCCGCTCTGTAGAGCTTTGCGGTCCAGAGCATTACAGCTCCCATACCAGGCCATGATATGAGAATTAAAAGAAAACATTTGCACTTTTGCTTTTGTTTTGTGAGCTCCTTGTGTTCCTGTGGTCAAGACGTCAGGTGGGTCACACTGCTACGGGTTACTAACCCGCCTGTCTTGCCTTCTCTCTGCCCCCCACACCCCCACAGCAGGCCGACAGGTCTGATCATGTTCTCCCAGGCCCAGAGGCAGACCATGCTTATGACCAGATGAGAGGTGAGACATTTCAGTCAGAAATAAAACCTTATGCATAGATGGGCAATGAGCATTTCAGTTAGAAATATCAGGCTGAAATGAAATGAAATGGGAAAAAAAAGCAAATCTGAGATATGTACATTGTCTACTTTTAATTTGTCTTTCCATGTGAATCAAATTCTTAATTTTTTCACTCATTTTTCTTAATATGCATGTACATCTTAATTGAACTTACTTGTAATACAGTGATGATGAATGCATTATTTTTTTCTCTGCATTACTTCCCATTTTTAAAGCAAGAATTAAGTGTTTGGGTCCCCAAGTATTGGTAGTCAGTCATCTCATTCACACCAGTATATTTCCATATAATGTCCTTTTCCACAGTCATGCCAAGATGCTCGAGATTCATTAATGAACAGCATACAGACTGATGTTATACAGTAGTAACACTGGAAAGAGTGGATGACCACCTGCAACCGCAAACATGCTAAGTGCTAAGTCAGGATAAGACCGAAATATGTGTTTAAAGTGTCTAGACAAGAAGGTAGCAAGCTAATTATTTTAGTATCATACATCATTATGTTCATTTATTCCCTTTATTATTTTGGCCGATTAAAGTCCAAAAAATGGGCTCCTGCAAACCATACCGTAAGGAGCAGGAAATCATCTTGGGAAGTAATCAGATATAAATCAGTGGTGGGGGTAGTGGTCGGGGTGGTGGGGAGGCGACTCCCTCTCGATCCTGGTGATGGACAGACCACTGACGTTGTAATGCGTTTGCAAGAAATGCTGAAGTTGAGCAGCACCCTGTGGCAAAAACAGAAGCGTCAGTAGGGGGCGCTGTGACCCCTCCACATCCCTCCCATCACAGCGTTTCTCTGTCTGCTACCTTGTCGGTTGGTAATGCGTCTCCGGATTAATTAATCACTCGTCTCACGTGCGAGACTGCTGTCCACAAGGAGGCGCGATTACCATACAGGGTACACACTCCAGCCAACCTTCACATCAGACATGACTGACTGCTGACACAACCGGAGCGGGCACATGCGTCACTGCTGAGGCAGAGGTGCAGTACTCACCGTGTAAAGTGCGTTCTCTATTTTGCCCCTGCCCATAGTAACTTGAGCCAGGAGCTTGACATTCAAGTTGGCAAACACCCTTACACCTGTAACGGGAAAAGAGAGGCGCTATTTCTCTGCCCTTATTCTGTCCTGAATGCTGGTGGAGTTGTGTGCATTTTCAACATGACACCAGGAAAACATGCAATCTCTACACAGAGAGGGGAGAGAGGATTCAAAGCCCCCAGTCCTGGAGATGCAAAATCAAGTTATGATGTTTGTATTATTTAAACACAAACCTTTAGTGTAGTGTAACAGGAATTACTACAGCTTACCTGGAGTTGGATGTGTGACACTTGCCGTCGAATGAGGCGGAGTTCGACGTGCGGTAATTCCCGTCGAATGAGGCACAGTTGGATGTGCGACACTTGCCGTCGAATGAGGCACAGTTGGATGTGCGACACTTGCCGTCGAATGAGGCAGAATTTGAGTTACGAAAATTGCCGTCGAATGAGGCACAGTTGGATGTGCGCCACTTGCTGTTGAATGAGGCAGATTTCGATGTGCGGTAATTGCTGTCGAATGAGGCACAGTTGGATGCGCGCCACTTGCCGTCGAATGAGGCAGATTTGGATGTCCGGTAATTGCTATCGAATGAGGCGGAGTTGGATGTGCGCCACTTGCCGTCGAAGGAGGCGGAGTTGAAAATGTGCCATCTGTATCTGAAGATGACAGAAGTGGAAATGTGTCAGAGATTTCAGTGTATTTGAAGTGACATACATTTGAATTGTTAAATTACATTTTTGAAAAATATAATCCATTTATCTTATAGGCAGACATATTGGACTGCAGCGCCCCCCACAGGCAGACCCAGTTAGCACCCCTTAAAGATGCCCCAAGAGAAGCTGTCCCAAAAACAAGTCAGGATCTTACAACTCATACACGTGTTTCTGACTTGTTCAAGGTGAAAATGTCTTGAAGAGGTGAGCGGTTGGGTTAAATGTTGCATTCCTATTATTAGAAGTTCATCATTATTATAAATCACCTAATTATACATAGAACTGAAATACAGAACACACTGCATTTCTAATCCAACCCGAAACAAAATGTTGAAAAGCTTTTAATAATAAAGGGGATTGAAAGACATATTCATGAATCTCACTGAAAAATTGCGAATGCTGCCGTTATTATTACTGCAGATTTCTTTACTGTTTGCTTGTATGTAGTTTATATTTAATGAATTTTAAACTACAATATTGCTACTAAAGGCATGTACATCAGCTTTTAATCTCATGAATGTACAATCATTCTGTCTGATTTCATTTATTCCAGCTGGTCCTCTATCCCTGTTTGAATAAATGTATTGAGGCTCTTTACTATACTCTGCATCTGGTATTTGGGAGCAGAGTAACAGGTGTTTCGGGTTTGACTTTCCTCCTATAAAAAGACTAACTAAAGTCATGATTTTGCTTTTTATTAAACTTGTTCGCTCTCAATTTTGCCTCTCCCCAAACTCAGAAAAAAAAAACCAATAATGAAAACTAGTAAATATAGACATTGTGCTGACCATCCCATACAAATTTTTGCAAATGTATTATTTAAACATATATCTAATACAAAGTAATAGAAATTATTACAACTTACTAGAAGGCAGAGGTGTAGTTGTTCCACCTGTAGTTGAAGGGTGCAGAGGTGTAGTTGTTCCACCTGTAGTTGAAGGGTGCAGAGGTGTAGTTGTTCCACCTGTAGTTGAAGGGTGCAGAGGTGT